TGAATTGGCTACTGTTCCACAGGATGGTGAGGTCACTTCTTTTTGTAGGTTTTGTCGGGAATCTTGGAATCATCGTAGTGGACGTGGAGGGGCGTTGAGATGTAGGTTAAGAGTATAACAGTAGTGTACTATGCATTGAAGATGAAAATGCTAGGGAACTGTATAGGATATGAGGGTGATTTGCGAGTTTTCTAAGGTATCGATTGATTTAAGAAGTGTTTTTAAGAAAATGAAGAAGTTTTTACATAGCGGTACCTTGAACATTGCGGTGAAATTTAGACTTCCCTCAGTTAACCTCCCGACTGTTATCGACTTGTAAGAGGATATTGACGATAACCTAACTATAGAGAAAAGTCAATAAATGCACCGAAACAAAGAAGAATGCAGAAGCAGAATTTACGCGGAGATTGGTATTCAAATTAGTTCATCATGAAAATGTATTTATCGTTTGATATAACAACTGTTGACTTGACTGTTTTACCATTTGGTATTGAATGTTGATATCCAAATGAGTTCCTGTAAAAGTACCAAATCAGGTAGTACACTAAAAGCAAAAATTGCTCGATCGGGTTTCCAACAGTATTATACATATTTGAGAGGTGCACTGAGGGTAAAGGATACCCGTAAATCATCTGCAATGCGTTTATGATTTCTCCGATTTCATCGATTTCATTATACGGAGTGAAAATCGATGATGCTGGAGTTTGAGTGGAGTTGACAACCGCCGGAGTTGCCCATTTCTGTTTCCTGCTGATCAAACAGAACATCTGGTTTTGAGTATTTTCTGACAGATCCATTTGTCCAACATAATGCGTCTTTTATGCTTGGATTAACGATTGAATAACATGTAAAATATACTTCGGTTTTCAGGACAGATACACATACAACGAAGGAAGACAAAATCATTTTTGACAACTTAATAAAAAGCAACCTCATAGATGATCGGCGCTTCTCTAAGTGTTGCTGATTGTTCATATCATCTTTCTTCGTGAATTATCATACATCACGTAGGATTTGTAATGTAATAAATCTGTACAAAAACAAGGTTGAGGCTGTCTTATCAATATTCATGGTCACATACCTTTTCGTAGCTTACCTGCCAAAAGGCTTTTTCACTGTAAACAATCCAGTACAAATAAAAAGGAATGTTCATTGAGAAACGATATTACATGCAACTAACTATTTGGGGAAAATATTTTCGTTGATTTGATTCCTTTTCTAAAAGAAGGGGTTATATAACGTTTAAATCCTGGGCTCAAAAGAGCTTAAAGTTTGTCTGTCTTATCCAATCAGAAAGCAGTATTTCTTTAATCATTGAAATTTACGGATAGCAGCCAAAAACCGAGTAATAGTAAGGTAATCGACGTCGAGGAACTCGAATCTGAAGTTAGTTTTTCCTTACTCACTATGAGCTGTCTTCTTCCTTTTTCTTTCTAAAACAGTTATTTTTCTGTATCTTTTATAAGATCTTGTATAGAAGGTAGTGGGTGAAACGCTATTTCTGGATATGATGTATGCGAAGATAATAGTTTAGGCCCTTACACGAAAACATTTAGCATATCTCGCATTATCGTATTTGCCATTCAAAATATCAGAAAAAATAGTAACTATTTTATATCATATTTGCCTTATAAACTACGATACGTGACTTCTTTCGATAGAATTTTACGGGAAATAGATCTCCGAAAGGTATGCTCGCCAGTGTAATTGTATCTTATTAACTGTAAAGACAATGGCTAGCTCTGAGTGACCGACTATAGAGAGGTCGACGAACGACTAGGCGTCAATTTTGGAAGTTACTTAAAAGGCGAGGTTTATAAGTGTCTCTCCAGTATCCGGAGTTTTTCGAAGCAATAAAATCTATGATTCTTCGAGAATAAGCCCCGCGTATTATTAACTCCTTAAATTGAAGGAAACAATAAAAAAATGTACTGTAGGCCACACGGATATAAATAATTTTGAAAACTTCCGTATCAGACCAGCTCGGTGGGAACAAAATACTTTTTTATTTGAAAATATCATATAACTTTGTTAGGTGTCAACGGCTAGCCGTGAGTGGCCAATCGGAGGTAGGTTGACGAACGACTAGGCGTTATGGGAAGCCTACGAATGACTAACCATTGAGCGGTGAGGTTTTCAGTAAATATAGCTAGTACTTAAAAACTATTCTCTGACAAGTGCGTAATTGATTAAATTCATGAAAAAAGAAGAATCTTTATTTTGTATTAATTCTCGTGTGGGACACAATGCCGTGGTCTAGTTTAGATCCAGTAATAACGGCAGTGTCCCTATTTGTCTTTCAATGTATCTGAATATGTTCAGCAGTCGAACGATTCTTTCAGAAAAGGGTTTGTGAATCCATCGAATGAGTGTTGCTTGTATTATTGTTGAAATGATATTTAATTACCATCGTGTACCGCGATTAATTCGAACAGTGATAATTTGTACACGATTTCGCTTTCGAAATAAACACGGTCGAACAACTCTAACAACTTCTTTACGAAACGTGCTGCCAGTTAACGTGAACATGTAGAAGCTAGTTGAATGCGGGAAATATGACAGCACACCAGATATTTTTATAGCGGCACTTTCTTGACTGATTCGAAACGAATCCTTAGCTAATCTACTCGTGAATAATGCATATAGTTGATACACAGAAAATGCTCCAGTGCAAATGATGATGACGATTACTTGAGCAAACAACATGTGTAGAAGATCAGTTCGTTTTCGTCGTGTAGCACGATGAACATTTTGCGGAAAGACACGATCTCTAAAGCGGATGTTTTTCAAAGTGAGACAGCCAAAAATAAGCATGAGCAACGATGGAAAAAGTGAATACATAAGCAAATGCCAAACATTAATAAATGTTGAATAGATAGGATCTTGTGTAGTACACGAGTATACAAGAATTCCTGTCGATCTTCTGAGCTGTATCAGATTATAGAAAATAAACATATGACTATACGAAATAGGAATTATGATGCTGACTAATGCGATAGAGATTTTGGCAGTTTTCAATGAACTCCAGCGACGCGAAGATATTTCAGGTGAGCTGTGCAAATAGCGATCGATGCATGCCATGGTAATTAACCAGCAAGACAGTGCACGTATTGTGAAGAAGACGAAACTTTGTATTTTGCAATATACAGGATTGTAAGTACTCAAATCTATATTAAAATTGTTCAACAGAAGACGTACAGGAATGATGAACAAAATAACGAAAAAGTTAACAAAGGTTGCGGCCAGGAAATAGATAGAACATGGTGTTTCGCGTAACACTGGTCGAGTAAATACGAACACATTAAAAGTAAGACCAATGACACCAAACACAAAATTCCCAAGGTAGACAATAGAAATCGTGACCGTAGTGATTATATTTAATTGTTGAATAGTTTGATCGACCGATGACATAGTTTGTGTAAATATGACGATGAAAAGAATTGAATTTTCGAAGTGTATCGATCAGACTACAAAGGTATTATTTTATATACCATAAAAAGTAACATGACGCTCTCTAACATCGCAACTAGATCATATTTTAATAATGTTTGTTAAACAAGATTCTCATTTAGTATATCTCGAGGTTAAATATTCTCATCGGCAGGAAATTGAGATAGTGAGATGAAGCACTGTAAACAAGTTATTAAATTGTAATTGTGGAATCCGTGTGTAAAATATTTCAATTTGTTGATCAAACAACGAATTAATTGAAGCCTGAATGTGGGAACTTTCTGTTTTTGATGGTAAGGATATTGCGAACAGGATACCTTGAAGATAATCTCTAACAGAATGGATGATTTTGGTTCTTAGAACAATGATTAAATAATATAGAAGATATATTTTCGAGAACTGGTGCATAAAAAAGTCATGTTTTGACTAAACGATTTTCTCTCTTCCACGATGTTTAATATCACTTGCTCTTTGTGAAACGTCAGTCAACATTTGAATATATATAATTCTGCTCGCTTTTTCGTCATTAAAGAAAACTAATTTACATTAAAACATCGTTTAGTACGACTCAGTGTCAGCAACAAATGAAATTCATATTTTTGGCGAGAGTAGAATTCAACTTTATATACTCCGGAAACTTTATTTAAAAGCGTATCCTAACTATTGTTGTAAGTGAATAGCAGAATGTTTATAATGGTTAATCAAATACGCGTGACACAGCACCATTTTGAACCGCATGATTGTGTTCCAGCGTTTCGTTCATGAGAAAAACATGATGTACGACATTCACCATTCGCGTATCGTCCAAGTTCTGGTGACCAAGCGCGACATGAACCCTCGACACCTATAAGATACATCAAACAAATTAACATATCAGTATTCTTCATCTTCATATATCGATAGTCTACCGGTACTGAACAGCATTAATAGGCAAAATAAAGCAGTAGCAAAAAGTAGAGCTCGACCAAATGCCATTGTAGTAATTGGATACTGATCAGCTTTGCGCTTTCAATTTATATACCGATCTTGTTCTATTGAGTAAATTTGCTTTAAGTGATCTATTATTCATTTTTATTTTTGTTTTGTACTTATGCAGATTAGAGTCTTTTGTTCGGTGATCGGAAGGCACTTCCAAAATATTTGCTCAGACACATCGTACAATCCATTGATCACTATTTGCTATTGGATTATATAAAGCTCGTCGTCCGACTCTTTGATCACGAAAACAACGAGGAACGATACTATTGATATTAAGTATATTTGGCTGAAGGTGAGAGTACGAATTACATTTAGGTATTTGTTGTCATACTCTCAGTCTCAATAAAATGTATCACACGTATAGTTTATTGCTCAAATAACATTGCAATCGCAAAGGAGAAATTAAATCGTTGAGCATCTGATAACCTTAGTTTCAACTACGCGAACATCAGTTTTCGTCAAATGTATAGTTAGATATATTTATTTTGTCAATTGACGATAAAAACTTATGAAACAGACACCTTCAACGCAAAATTACACAACAAAAATATGCTAAAAGCATTACGGTACTATCGAATATTCAAGTGCCTATGAATTCTTCCGTTATTGGTTGATTGGAGATCGATTTTGACGAGCATGAATAGGTTGTACTCTCACTTCATTGGGTTCTTTCAGGTGCAATAGAATGGCTAACTTAGAGAGAGCCTTTGGGACAACTATCAGACAAACGAATGGTAGTAATAACGATGTAAAATAGAATAAATAGAGAAACACATCTTCTTGTACTTCCGTCTCATGTCTATCGTGGGGATGATTTCCTAAAATATGAAATAATTCACCGACACTCGGTGGTAGAGTACCTACAAAATACAGTAGTGAAACGAGCAAAAATTGAATAATCATCTTTTTCTGACGACGCCAACGGATGGGATGACGATGTTCTACAGAGTGAAATATAATACGAAGGAATAGAGTCAAACTGAAGAAAAATATGAGAAACGATGACAAAATTTTATGAACAATCAATTCAAATATTGAAAGATTGATATCCGCATGTACATAACAAGCTTTGCTGCAAAACATGTCATCATTTCGAAACCGGTCTTTGTTCGAGCACATTCGAGGAAAGAAAATTACAGTCAAATAGAAAACGAATGTATAAATCAGAATAAGACATATTGGACAGTAATGACAAACTAGACGTTTGTGGTGTGTATTAAGAAGAGAACGATTGTGAAATATAAGCAGATGACGTTCAACAGATGCCCACATCATTAGAAATGAGCATGAGTTGGATAGAAATGAATCGAGAAAATTCCATGTTATACAAGTTCTCCATAGATCTCCTCGAACGAAGCCAAAGTAAAGGAAATCCAGGGTGATTCCGAGATCAATCGTGACGATGAAAAAATTCACAATAAGCAAACATAAGATGATATGATTACGGAGTGTTTGTCGTAAATTTCGATCGAATAAAAGTTGAGAAATTAAAAACAAATGGCATAAAATCGATGGAATTTGAAACGAAAGAAATATACCAAATTTGATCCGTTTGAATACACTATTTTCCAAGAAATATCCCTCCTTGTCGTCCGTCATATTCATTGTAGTACAGAGCAAGTCAGTTATGTGATAGACGACACAATCCTGACAAGTTTATATACAGAAGAAAATCTCATTTTCATCTTATGTTCACGCTGACGTCAATGTAAAGAACAGATTAATATCACGTAGAATGGAGTGGAGCATAGGAGTAATTGCACAATTTAAAAATAGATATACACGAACATTATTTATATGCACAATTTCCTGTCAAGTCTTGAGAAAAGCTGAAAAACAGTATTATACATAAATTTTCTCTTATGCTCAAGTAGTTTATCAACAAGATCGGGATGAAGAAAAAGTAATTAAAAATGTTATTAGTAGGTACGCTACAAAGTTCAGTTCTTTTTTTCTATCTTATACATTATCTGAAGGAAGGATGAAGTTGTATTAACTTGAAGAACGAGAAGGAAGGGAAAAAAACAATTAAAACGTCGTGTAATTGGATATGCTATATTTTGCAACACTCGAAAAAGGAGAAAGAAAATGTAAAGGAGAAGCCACTAAGGTCTAGTTAGCACGAACTTAATTTTTTCCAGAATGACAGTTTCAACCTCGAGATTCGATCGGCAATTATTTTCTCGATTGCATTTTTTATATTTCTTTCGTATCTTTCGATAATCGACGGTTCTACGCCTTCGCTTTTCAGTTGATCAACTATTAGCTGATAGTAATTCTGCACCATGTGCCAATCATTCCGTCGCCGATAAATCATGGCCAGTGCTTTTTCATTATCATCAGAATCCTGATAGCATGCTGCTAAATTATTATGACGACGAGATTGATGATCTAACAATAAGCGATAACATTGAATAACATAGCTGATATATCCCATCGCTCGACATTTATCTGCAAAATCACATGAATGCATATCATTCAGCTTAACTAATGGCGTACTTGTTGGAGATCTACCTTCGTGCATGACGAAGAAGTTTGAGTTCGGACTGGACTTGGCCACAGATGACAAACCTGTATGAACTTGTCTGTATACTTCAAAAAGATCTAGTCCATCATTTGGAACTGTTAGTTGATGTCTATTTGCATCGGTATGTTGTTTCCACATTCTGATAGCCCGCAAACTCGAGAATACAAGTCACTTGATCATGCTATATCAGTCTACTCGATGATATCTCTCGTATGAGAGCAGTGCTCTAGTGCTTTCGATTTGTCTTGTTTGACGAATAATGTTAAAATAGTCGTACCACGATGAATGTATTGCGGGTCTTTCTCGAAGTAATTTTTGTACGCTATATGCAAGGCGGTTTCGTAATGCTTCACATACTTGGTAAGTCTGGTCGAACAATTCGATGTTTGCCTATTGAACTTCATTGTCTTTATAAGTTATTCGATATTCAGCAACCATCTCTGCTTTGACCTCAGATGATTGCGGTGAGCGTAAAAGAACTTCGGTGATTAATTGGGGTCACATAAAAGAAGCCTGTTCACTATTCAAAACTTTCAATGATCGTTGTCCCGGCCTTAGTGATCCAAATGACAAGGTGACCTCAGGCAAAGATCTTAAATCATCTGGCAGCTTTCTCGATAAACTCTTTTCATCAGTGTAAACGCCGCAAATTTTATTCTAATGCTCCATTCAACTGCTGTACCTCTCTATGTCGAAGCAAAATATGTAAACGTAAGTAATCTGAGCTAAATCATGAATTACAGACAGAAGAGTTTGTCCAGAGGAGCCAGAACAATAAGTATTCTCCGCAAGTCATTTATTTTCTTAATGTCCTCTTCACAAGCAGTGGCATTGAGAAAGGCTCGAATCGACTTGATACCAGAGAAAAGGAGGTTTTTCCATTGGAATAATAATTGTCGCCCAGAATCGGCCATAGATTCATCTAGTCAAACAACCATGACTTTGTCTATACGTTTTTCGTTGTTTTTTTTCTTCCGAGATCTTGACATGATGGATTTCTTTTTTCCTCAGCTGATGACTGGTGATGACGCGCAAGAATAAAAATACGTCTTTAGCAATCAACACTAAAAAAATGTTTTTGCAGCTTGTGGGGAAAAAGAATGAAGAAATGACTGAGAATCATTTTACTATACATCCATCATATGTAAACCACTCGATAGTTTACAGCAATTGTTGGGTAAGAATAAGAAGATAATTGGTACTAAAAGCACCATTGTTTTCAATATATACGAGTCTCTGTCTACGGTCAGTTTACTTTATTGTTTTCATTCAATACAATTACATATAGTAGATATTTTTTACATACTGATTTCATTTGTATGTTTAACAGAGCACACGTATACATTTAACATATAAAGATAAAAGAAATGAAACTACGAAAGTGTATGAAAAAAAGAATCATTTCGAAGGTATTAACGTGAAAGAAACGCAGAAAATACAACATAGAAAATAGGCAATATCTGTAAATATAGATATGCGCAGTGAAGCGATATTGTTGTAACGGATATCTTTGTTGCCGATGACGAAACGACAGTTGATGATGTACTTGCTGTTGTTGTTGTTGTTGTTGTTGATGCGGAAACATTTGATGATCCTGACACACCAAGTGTAACTGATGTGATGAAACCACTGGATATCCCACTTGTTGAATTCACATATTGAATGTTCATTAAAGTAATCGAACTACTTTGATAAATTGTATCAACACTATTTAATGTACGTGTAATTGTATGATTTGAATAGGGTGATTGTTGTGCAACTAAATCTGTTAGTGAATCATTAAAAAATAACTGACCAGTTTTCACAAGACTTCCATCGGAATAGTATCCAGTAGATGTGACATATACTCCATTGAGATGAACACGAACATGAATATGTGTGGCTCGGCCGGTGTACCAGCCGGGATAGATAGTATCAAACGTAGCAACACCACTCGCATTGGTTAATTGCATACCTAGAAATGATAATCCGCAGTACTCGTATACGATGCAAAGAGGGATATTTCAAACTACCTCTGAGATATGTCGAATTGTCACTCTTTGGATTTTGTGTATTACTGCTTGCTTGGATAAAATGAGAATAAATACCGAGCGCATCGCAATGCCAAATTTCGATAGCTGCATTTACAATAGGTTCACATGTGTTGATGTTTGTGACTGTTGCATAGAGTCGAAATGGAATTCCTAGACGATCTTCTCTGGAAAAGGAAATAGAAATCATTTCTGATTGTTTACATATGTATATGTGCGTTGTTATCTTACGAAATATTTTGACGCATCAAAGTTGTATTCCATGAATAAGGACCTTCCGTTGTTTCAGGCGTCAGAATGCATGTTGATGTCGCTCGACGACAACGTTCTGATCCTGAAAGCGAGATTTAACTGATAGTTATTGAGATATTAGGAGTATTTACCTAGAACACCATTTTGTGAAGCACATATAAGACACAGAACCAAAATCGCGATGGTTAACATTGAGAATAAACATCATTCATACTCGAGTAGAGTGCATTTATAGGCAGAGTCATGAAGCAAAAGCTAATTTTTCATACGTAATTTCTTCATATTTTTTTTCTTCTAAAAGTACATGAGACATGTACTATTTCATAAACGAGAGGAGCTTTTACCTTTGAAAGAACGATGAAAAGCAATATTAATAAAAAACATTTTTGCTTGGTTCTCTACATAGCCACGTCACGCGTGCATATATGGTTGTTTTCTTCTAAAAAAAGTACATTACAGGTATAGGTTGTAATGTCAGATGTGAAAGAATCATCAACTTTCTTTCTTCTTCAAGTTAAAGAAGAGCCGGCAGAAAGGTAATTTTTAATGTCGACATATGCGTTCATCTCCCATAGATGATTATGAATGACGGTGTTGATCAAAGTAAATGTCCTTTTTTATGTTTAGGAAACTTTTTCTTTTTCTCTCTATAATTAACCTGTTGTAGTGGTTGAAAAATATGTAACAGATTTCTTTAACTTTCAAAAACATTTCTCTAGGAAAACATGGCTCCTCCTAATCGATGGAATTGACTTTCAACTGCGTAACACTCTAGAATAGGACGCATTTTGTCCTTAGTAATATGTTTAACAAAGATTTACTTGTGATTCCAAAGAAGAAGATGAGAAAAAATAAGAGAATGATAACATTCGCAAGATAGTTTTTTATTTGTTGCTAACTAGAAAACTGATGACATATAGTACAGTTATCGTTTTAGCAATTACTGCGTGTTCATGTGTTACATATAATTTATGATTTTTTTCGTATAAAACATCATGTCCTTCAGCTCTTTGTTGGATCGTACAACTCAGCACTAAATGTTGCGTACATATCCATTCCTCCAACTACTAAAGCTCTGCCATCGCTCAATACAGTTAATGTATGATCCGATCGGTACGTGTGCATGAAGCTAATATCAGTCCAATGACCGGTGCTTGGATCATAAATAAAAGCACCTTGGCTAGGACTACGAAGTTTCTTCTCGGGATCTAAAAACTGCCCACCTGCGGATATTACTCGGCCATCATGCAACAAACCCATTTTAAGCATCAGTCCTACTACAACTCCGTCATCAGTTCTAGTCCAGGTATTGGTAGTTGGGTCATAAATATCGGTGCTAGTCGGGTATTCAACTGTTTGACCGAATCCTCCAGCGACTAACACTTTACCATCCTTTAACAGGATTGCCGTATGCATTACTCGTGCTTCTACCAAGTCGCCGGTAAGAGTCCAACGGCCAGTAGACGGGTCGTATATTTCTGCGCTTTTCTCATAGCCACCCACTACCAGAACTCTTCCATCGGCTAATACAGTAGCCGTATGATACTGTCGATCATAGTTTAAACTTGCAGCTTCGGTCCATCGTCCTGTCACCGGATCATACAGTTCTGCACTTCTAACGATATCTAGACCACCCACAACTAATACTTTTCCATTGTTTAACACGGATGCTGTGTGTAAAGATCTTCGAATTTTCATGCTACCAGTGACAGTCCAACGACCAGTTTCATAATCATACAATTCAGCGGTGGTAGTACCACCACCAGCGACTAATATTTTTCCGTTTTTCAGCGTAGATGCGGTGTGTAAAGCATGAACAGAGCTCATATTGCCAGTAAACGTCCAACGACCTGTTGAGGGATCATATAATTCTACAGTATTCCATCCAACAGCTATGTTGCTTCCACCAGTGACTAATACTTTTCCGTTCGCTAATAAAGATGCAGCGTGATATGCTCGATTGCAGGACATATTACCAGTGTAAACCCAATCTGAATCAGAAATTTAAATATGATCGATTCGCAAAGATCCCTTACCATTTGCGGAAACTGACGCTGGGTGACACCAGCTATGTTCGAAAATAATAAGAGATATTAAAATAATAATACCGACTCGACCGATTTGCATCTTGAATTTTCTCCTTCTGTCTGCTTCTTACTCTAATAATAGCCTATATGCGATGTATTATATTGATGGTGATAACCAGCTTGCATTCACTCTCATCGGTACTAACACGGTACTGACAGTATGAAATATCGCAAACATACGATCATGTACTATTAGACATTGATCGATTTCTAACCTTTACGCAAGTGTCTTGAAGATGAGAGCGAGCGTCAAAGCGTCGAGCCAGTCATAAAGTGAGATACTAATGAAGAAAAAAATGAGAAAGAATTGCTTTTTTTACTCATACGACATTACATCTACTTGTGATAGACGAGAACAAACGAAAAACGCGATATAAAGCCGCGCGTGTCAAAGCAAGAACACATACATTTAGTACTTATCCCTTGGCGGTGTTTGTGTATCGTGTGGATATGGAAGCAACCATTGGTTGGAAGGAAAGAGTTAATCGAAAATAGAAAGCACTCATTCTAGAGAGATGGTTAATAGAAGAAAAAAACTCAACTATCGCTTGAGTCGCAGCGTTCCGTTATCATTTCATTTATTCGAACTAGTAGTTTACTATCTACGGAAGAACTAACAATAACTGAATTACCAGTGCAAGAAGTCGCTCAAAAGATTGCTTCGAGTGTACATATGACTACAGATGTTTGTCAAAAGTATTGTCATCGAGCAACAATTGCTCATTCACAGGTATGTATTGTATTTTTATATGGGTGCTATTATCTATGTCAAGACTAACGTTCCGCAATCGTTATTATTTGGAGAAACTGTCGTGCGATTCAACAGTTGATGACTAATCTGCAAGAAACTGGTCATCAAGTTGTCGAATGGAAACCTCATTAATACAAGCATACAGATGAATTATTTAGCTAGATTCTTGCTGTGGATGAAGATGCAGTTGTTCAATTGATACTTGCATGGAGTGGCGGACCAGCTGTTCCAAATATCAAACATATAGTCGAATCAACTAAGTTAATGATTAATCTTGTTTCCTCTTGGGAACTTGTCAACGCTAGAAATAAATATCCAAAAGAATAGCTAGACGTATGACAGAAGCGGTCTAATGTTGATGCTTGAATTATGTCTGTTCCATCTCATGCTACTGTTATGTATGATGATTATACAGTGATAGTTAACGTACTCGAGTGGTCAGCTGCCACAATATTTATTACTTTTGGTGATAAAGACAAAGTTCGAGAGAATATGGACTACAGAAATAGGAACGAACTTGATGAGAAGACATGCAAAGACTAAAATGCTGATGTGTATGATGGAGTACCTGCTGAAATCCAATTGATCGGTAGACGACCTCAAGAAGAATATTTCATTGGTGATGACAACTATGAATAAAACCGTAAGTTCTTACAACAGATAAGGCAACAATAAAATCTTTATTTTTCACATATACATCTATATTTCGAGAAGCATGAAAGAATAACGTGATCATAAATATGAACAATGGTCAAGTGTCGAACAAAGTGCCTCACTCAGCTTGTAAAGATTATATCAATATCAGGGAATAAAACGTTCTACTAATGTTGATCAATCACAGCAAGTATCATGTTAGTTTATTAGATACAGCAATCATATGGTATGGTTCTTGAACCAGACATTGATATTCCTTGTACATTCATAGTTACTCTCATACCATCTTTACATTGACCTTCTTAAAATACATTTGATGACTATAGTATTTCATGCGGATAAAAGAATTCTTGGTTTTTGACCAATGTATGCTGTTGGTTCAGGCAAATTCCTTTGAGACTGTATTGCATCACCTCGAGATTGCGCATTTATCCTTTGACCAATATCAATTTGTATCTAAATTTGTAACATCAGCTATAAGTCAACGAAGCTCCACTTTAAAGTAAAGTAACTTACAAAGTAAATTGTTTGAACTCTCGAGCCACCTTGAGAACTGTATGTTCTAAAACTATGTGAATTCAATCTCCATCTTGTAGGTATAGGTCGTTTTCCTAGATATCTTAGCGATTCAACTTCTACAGCATGCTTTAGTCGACGGAAACGCCTTCTGGAAACCCAATTACCCACGAAGATTCCAGGAAATATCAATATAAATAATACACCACCAATTGCTAACAATGTTATCCATACAGGGCGACTTGCAAATGCTATTAATACTAAGCCAGGCGTAACGAAAGATATCGCTCCAACTATAGGAACTATAGTAAAAAGAAATAAAAGAATTTTCTCATGAAAAGTGCTTTTTCGTGCATAATTGATAGTGCTTATCGATTGATCAAATTCAGCTGGATGTATAATTCCAAACAGTTCTACAGGAAAATCTGAATCGAATCGATTACTTCGACAACATCCTGCAAATGCAAAGTCAAAAATATACGTGTCGACACCGTCTTTTTTTTTGTTAAAAGAGTCAGACTCACTAAAACGTTCGTGTATGGTAACGGTATTTAAGGGAACAAATGATCCTAACATTATTGTTTGACAATATATAAGAGTATATATGTATGCTGTGTGCTAAACCCCAGTCGTTGATAGTTGATTATATAAGTGTATAGATTTTACCATTCGACCAAAAGAATGTGTTTATTTATGTATGTTATCACCTCATACATACATACATAGTATGTATGCGAAAAAGAGATAGAAACGAATATGTTTGCAATGACGTGTGATACAGGTCGGCTGCTTTCTCTTTATACAACTCGTATAATATTGGTAGATCAATTATCTCGTCACGCTTTGATACCACGCAGTAAAATATCATGAGAAAAATGCATACTTACTCAAAAATAAAACGAATATTTTTTTGTGTCACCATCCATTTGCAATGTGACGTTTATTAATGAATTGATACGCATTCAATTCTTATCTAATGACTATTAGCGAAAGAAATTTAAGGACAAACGTGCGTGCCTGTTTGTATCTAAGCATCCATCGCGACAAACAAATTGTAATTATAGAAGCAGAAAATATAGTCCTCATGAAGACTATTTGACAGCATCATTTCGATATGAAAGAAGAAAAACAGTCGATCCCTGATAGCTTGAAGATGCAGCACACGCAAGCGGAAAATATTTCATAAACGTTTATCTTTTTTTCGTTACATAGATACAAAAACAAAGGAAAAAGACCGGTAAATTCTACGACAGAACTCCTTTCTTTTCAGTCTATGCGCAATTATTCAGATTCACTCCATGTTTATCACTTTGAATTCGTTAATTCAATCGATCGAAACATTGCCGGATCTGGATTTGGTTCTATAAAACTTTAAAGGTACAACAAATATAGGCAGCGTTATCATCGTTGAGATGAATGAAATGAAATAATCAATAAGGAATATCTAAGAATCATTCGCTCAATTCATATACTTTGATACATATGAAAGTGTCAAGTGTGGTAATGCAAGAAGACTAAATGCGTTTGAACGTATCTAACTCATTTACTCTACTAAATCGTATCTTTCTTGAGTCGAAACTCTTAGCCTGTTCGTTCGGTATTACCTTCTATCAACTGTTCTGATTCTATAATACATGAAAAGAATTGAAACGTTATTTTTTGATTGAAAAACCGAATCTATGTGAGTAAAAAGATAATAGGAAATAACAATTGACCAAGAATATGAACAAAATTTAATGTGGTCACTAAGAATCGCTCAGAAGAATTATAAGGAATAGAAATAATATATGTTTTATTCATCAGCACTGTATCTAGAATCGTAATTATTAAGGATTAATATTCAAATATATTTACGATTTTATGTATGATTGTTTTCATTAAAGATAAGTTCTAGATGATCATCTTCTTAAACGAGAGATCTAACTTATTCATAGATAAGACAGTGTAAGTAGACCTGTAATTGAAAGGTCTTATGTTCTCATCTCACTCATCGAACAATCTCAACAAATGTATAAAAATTGAATAGATGTCATATTCGAAGCGTGGGGAAAAAGATGACTATTGGGAGAAAATAATGTTAACACACGTATAAGCTGTGGGTATTGGATACTTATTTTGGGGAAAAACTACAAAACGCGTTGACACCCAAAAGAATTTTACAGGGGTTATATGCAGTGAGTATTTTTCTTTTCTTACGCAAATATGATATTTATAAAAGGTATAAAAAGAAAACAATAAGAATAGTAGAAGACTGCAGGTAAGAAAAAACAACGCCGCTCTGTGTCACGTCACTGGGAAATTATCGTTGGAACAAAGAAGGAAGGCTGACTGAATCGAGAGAAGAAATACGCAAATGGAAAGTTTTACTATGAAGCTCAATGATCTACCAGTTGAATTGCTGTATAAGATTTTTAACGATCTTTCATCAGCTGATATATATTTATGTGTGGCACTTGTTAATCATCGACTACGGACCATTGCACTTTCTTATCCTCATTTCGAGCTAGTTACAGGCACTAGACTGTTGAAATTGCTGTGCAAATGTATCCTGCCCTCACACGTTTCTTCACTGCGTTTTTCGACAGATGAAACAGAATTCAAATTAAGAAAAGATGGCTTTAGTTTCTTCAATCATTATAATAGAAGTGGCATGTTTTCCTCGAACCAATTCTTTACACTCTATGAAGATCAATTGCACACATTTGATCATTTGCGCTCGTTAGATTTGAGTGGTATTACTAACGCATCATTTTCGCAAGTCATTGATCATTTAATAGAATCGATGCCTCAACTGGCGATAACATTGCTTAAAATAAGAGATCATCATCCGAATGTTGACCAAGAGCGAGTCGAACATTCTATACGTTTTTTAACAACCTTACAAAACATTCGTCAAATTTCGTTACAAAAACCCGATATCCTCTTGGCACTTATGTCTACTGTTCCCACTATTGGTTGTGTCTCTTTAGAATCATGCACGATCAAAGATGTACGAAAAATAAAGGAATATTTACCGAATCTACGTTCTTTTACTGTACAAAACGTACGCTTAGAGCACTTGAAATATGCGCTGTCTGACACAAATTCATTCAAAAGTGTACTTAATATCGATCGCAATCGTATTACATTCAAATTTATAGAGTTACCTACTACTTTTATAAAGAAAGTCCTTTGTAACGATCTACAAATGGTTCTGTCAAATTTGACGTGCTTGTCCTTGCAAAATCATGCTTCAAAGAAGCAGAATTTTGATGAATTTTTCGATGGATCATGGTGGGAAAGCTCTTTGAAAACATCGGCGCCTTTCTTAAAAGAATTCGTCTTTGAATTCTTCTACGGATATGATCATCGAGATTTAACAGTAGAGAAGACGAATGCCATACTAATGCCATTCCAAACGGACTTTTGGCTAAAAGAAAAGCATTGGTATGTATATCTTATATTATCTCATACACATGGCTCGCGTCTCTTCACTAACGAATTTCTACACGACATGCGCGACATGACCGATGTAAACTCATCAGTGAAAGCGTCAACAGATCAGCTGTTCAACACTCTGTCCGAGACAACGACATCACTAACAATCGATTACAGTGCAGGCACACCATCACCAACTTCTCTACGATTTGGTGCTCAAGTAATCGATCTATATATTCGAGGTCCTGAACCGCTGCCAGGGTCACCAGTCCGTTGCTTATCTTTAAAGAATCATATTCAACCCTATGTTGATTATTGCAACGTGAAACGCCTGAGACTAGGCGCTAGTTTAGTACGTGAAGATAAAAAGCAATTAAAAGCGGGTCTTCTCAAACTATTTCGTAACGTTACGTGTCTAAAAATCGATTGTATGGAACAACTTCAATCACTATTCAATCAACGAGAAAAAGTTCTTAATCTTTTAAAGAATCAGATTTATCTATTGGTGATAGTCGCGCCAACGAATTGGCGGTTTTGGCGAGATAGACGAACCATCGATACGTTTTGTCAAACGTTCGCTAACTTAAAACAACTTGATTTGAATGTAAGCGCTCCTGAAGTAATGGCTATTATTATTAATGCATTGTTGAATCTTGAAGAAGCAATATTTAGATTTTCCGAAAGCATTAGTCTAATATTGCAAACACACAGGGATCTATGTTTATCAAGCACGCGTTTAAAAACTATGCATTGGCGATATGAAACATTCTCCCACGCGGTACATTTGTTTATCGATATAAATGGTGCTCGCAGTGACAGTACGTAGTAAAGAATCTGGATTCAATATATTTTCTCACTTTCTAATTAGATTTCACTACTCATCAACGCATCTTATCACGATTACCGAATCATCATCCCACTCTGTCTGATATGGAATGAGTCAGAGTATCAGTTACCAAGGAAAACTAAACTCGTGCATATTCCCGTGTAAAAAAAACGCGTTTTTTAGTTTTTTAATCTGCACCAGTTTGTCCTAGTCCATATAACCGCGAGACAAATATGATATTCCTCTGTGTTTTCATGATTCACTTATTGAAACTTAATTAAACTTCAAGCCGTTGTATCTGTGTGATCGACAAAAGAGAGAAAAGTCCTCCGTGTTGTATTGTTAATAGTATTGATGCTCAGGGTGAGAATGTTTTGAGGCATTAAAGCTTTTCCAGGACTCAAATATCGTTCGAATTTTTATTAAAAAAATTTAGCCTGCGACAAGTCTCATATTTTTCCATTTACTCTATGACGTAGCTGAAATACTAAATATTCTATCTCCAATATCTCACATTTCTTCTACGTTCTCTACTTTTTCTTTATAATGGAATAGAATCATAGTCATTTATAATTTTCTATTACAAAAAAGTGCATCAAAACTATAATTAGCTAGAACTTAAGTAAACGTTTGCAGAATGTCATCGGTGAATGCTACGATTGCTCAAATAAATTCGGCATCAACAACAACCGTTTTAGTTTTGGGCTTTATAAATTTCGTTCTAGGCGCAATCGGTCTCGTATTCAATCTATTTATATTTACTCGGCCATCTCTGCGTCACGAGCCGTGTTCACTCTATTTCTTGTCGTCAACCTGTTTCAGTCTATTTGTTGTATATATCATTGTTCCTATACGCATNCAATCCTGACAAGTTTATATACAGAAGAAAATCTCATTTTCATCTTATGTTCACGCTGACGTCAATGTAAAGAACAGATTAATATCACGTAGAATGGAGTGGAGCATAGAAGTAATTGCACAATTTAAAAATAGATATACATGAACGTTATTTATATGCACAATTTCCTGTCAAGTCTTGAGAAAAGCTGAAAAACAGTATTATACATAAATTTTCTCTTATGCTCAAGTAGTTTATTAACAAGATCGGGATGAAGAAAAAGTAATTAAAAATGCTATTAGTAGGTACGCTACAAAGTTCAGTTCTTCTTTTTTATCTTATACATTACCTGAAGGAAGGATGAAGTTGTATTAACTTGAAGAACGACAAAGAAGAAAAAGAAAACAATTAAAACGTCGTGTAATTGGATATGCTATATTTTGCAACACTCGAAGAAGGAGAAAGAAAATGTAAAGAACGAGCTACTAAGATCTAGTTATCACGAACTTAATTTTTTCCAGAATGGCATTTTCAACCTCGAGATTCAATCGGCAATTGTTTTTCTCGATTGTATTGTTTAGATTTCTTTCGTATCTTTCGATACTCGACGGTTCTACACCTTCACTTTTCAGTTAATCAACTATCATGACCAGTGCTTGTTCATTGTCATCGGAATCCTGATAGCATAGCTGATATATCCCATCGCTCGACATTTATCTGCAAAATCACATGAATGCATATCATCCAGTTTAACTAATAGCGTACTTGTTAAGGTCTAGCTTCGTGCATGACGAAGAAGTTTGAGTTCGGACTGGAGTTGGCCACAGACGACAAGCCTGTGTTGACTTGTCTGTATACTTCAAAAAGATCCAGTCCATCATTTGGAATTGTTAGTTGACGTCTATTTGCATCGGTATGTTGTTTCCATATACTGATAGCTAGAGGTACAATATCAATCTGAAAGTATACAATAGCTGGTAAAAAAGCCCGTAAACTCGAGAATCCAAATCATTGGATCGTGCTATATCAGTCTACTCGATGATATCCTCCGCATGAGAGCATAGTGCTCTGGAGCTTTCGATTTGTCTTGTTTGACGAATAATGTTGAAATAGCCGTATGCACATGACGGTGAATGTATCGTGCGTCTTTCTCGAAGTAACTCTTATGTGCTATTTGCAAGGCGGTTTTGTAATGCTTCGCATAGTTGGTAAGTCTGGTCGAACATTTCGATGTTTGCCTATTGAACTTCATTGTCTTTATAAGTCATTCGATATTTAACAACCATCTCTGCTTAGGTCTCAGACGATTGTGGTAAACTTAAGAGAACTTCGGTGATTAATTGGGGGCCACATAAAAGAAGCCTGTTGAGTATTCAAAACTTTCAATGATCGTTGTCCAGGTTCTGACAGTCGAAATTGTAGGGTAATCTCAGTCAAAGATGTTAAATCATCTTGCAGCTTTCTCGATAAGCTCTTTTCATCATTGTAAATGCCGCAAATTTTATTCTACTGCTCCATCCAACTGCTGTACCTCTCCATGTCGAAGCAGAATATGTAAACGTAGGTAATCTGAGCTAAATCATGAATTCCACACAGGAGAGTTTGTCGAAGGAAGCCAGAATAATAAGTATTCTCCGCAAGTCATCTATTTTCTTAATGCACTCTTCACAGGCAGTGACATCGAGAAAGGGCCGAATCGATTTGATACCAGAGAAAAGCAGGTGTTTCCATTGGAATAATAGTTGTCGTCCAGAATCGGTCATAGATTCATCTAATCAAACAACCATGACTTTGTCTATAAGTTTTTTGTTGTTGTTTTTCTTCCGAGATTTTTACATGATGGATTTCTTTTTTCTCCAGCTGATAGCTGGTGATGACGCGCAAGAGTAAAAACACGTCTTTAGCAATCAACATAAAAAAATGCTTTTGCAGCTTGAGGGGAAAAAGAATGAAGAGATGACTGAGAGTCGTTTTACTATACATCCATCATATGTAAATCACTCGATAGTTGACAGCAATTGTTGGGTAAGGATAAGAAGATAATTGGTACTAAAAATACCATCGTTTTCGATACATACAAGTCTCTGTCTATATGCTCAGTTTACTTTATTGTTTTCATTCAATATAATTACATATAGTAGATATTTTTACATACTGATTTCATTTGTACTACGAAAGCGTATGAAAAAAAAGATCCATTACAAAGGTATTAACGTGAAAGAAACGCAGAAAATACAACATAGAAAAAAGACAATATCCGTAAATATAAATATGCGCAGTTAAACGATATTGCTGTTGCCGATGACGAAGCGACAGTTGACGATATAGTTGCTGTTGTCGTTGATGCGGAAACATTTGATGATCCTGACACACCAAGTGTAACTGATGTAATGAAACCACTGGATATCCCACTTGCTGAATTCACGTATTGAATGGCCATTAAAGTAATTGAACTACTTTGATAAATTGTATCAACATTATTTAATGTACGTGTAATTGTATGAGTTGAATAAGGTGATTGTTGTGCAACTAAATCTGTTAGCGAATCATTAAAAAATAACTGTCCAGTTTTCACAAGACTTCCATCAGAATAGTAACCAGTAGATGTGACATACACTCCATTGAGATGAACACGAACATGAATATGCGTGGCTCGACCGGTATACCAGCCGGGATAGATCGTATCAAACGTAGCAACACCACTCGCATTAGTTAATTGCATACCTAGAAATGACAATCAACAGTTTTAGTATACGACGCAAAGAGGGATGTTTCAAATTACCTCTGAGATATGTCGAATTGTCACTCTTTGGATTTTGTGTATTACTGCTTGCTTGGATAAAATGAGAATAAATACCGAGCGCATCGCAATGCCAAATTTCGATAGCTGCATTCACGATAGGTTCACATGTGTTGATGTTCATGACTGTTGCATAGAGTCGAAATGGAATTCCTAGACGATCTTCTCTAGAAAAGGAAATAGAAATCATTTCAGATTGTTTACATGTGTATATGAGTGTTGTTATCGTACGAAATATTTTGACGCATCAAAGTTGTATTCCATGAATAAGGACCTTCCGTTGTTTCAGGCGTCAGAATGCATGTTGATGTCGCTCGACGACAACGGTCTGATCCTAAAAGCGAGACTTAGCTGATATTTAGTGAGATATTAGGTGCATTTACCTTGAACACCATTTTGTGAAGCACAGATAAGACACAGAATCAAAATCGCGATGGTTATCATTATTAACATTAGGAATAAACATCATCCATATTTGAGTAGTGCTTTTATAGGCAGAGCGATGAAGCAAAGGCTAATTTTTCATGCGTAATTTCTTCATATTTGTTTTTCTTGTAAAAGTACATAAGATATGTACTATTTCATAAACAAGGGGAGCTTTTACCTTTGAAGGAACGATGAAAAGCAACATTAACAAAAAAGTTTTGCTTGGTTCTCTGCATAGACACGTCACACCTGGACATATAGATGTTTTCTTCTTAAAAAAGTACATTATAGGTATTGGTCGTAATATCACATGTGAAAGAATCATCAATTTCCTTTCTTCTCGAAGTTAAAGCAGAACTGGCAGAAAAGTAATTTTTTTTATGTCGGTATATGCGTTCTTCTTCCATAGGCGATTATGAATCACGGTGTTATTTCAAGTGAATGTCCTTTTTATGTTTAGAAAACCTCTTCTTTCTTCTCTTTGCAATCAGTTTGTAGTATAGTTGTTGAAAAATATGAAACAAATACCTTTAATTTCGAAAACGTTTTCCCATAAAAACATGAATTTCCCTAATAGATGGAACAGGGTCCCAGCCGTGCAACACTCTAGAATAGGACGTACTGCCTATCCTATGTATCTGTTTAGTAAAGATCACGTGTGATTCCATTGCAGAAGATGAGAAAAATAAGGGAATAAGAACATTCGCAAGATGGTTTTTTATTCGTTGTTAATTAGAAAACTGATGACACAAAGTACAGTTATCGTTTTATTGATCACTGCATATTCATGTGTTACATATAATTTATGATTTTTTTCGTATAAAACATTATGTCCTTCAGCTCTTTGTTGGATCGTACAACTCAGCACTAAATGTTGCGTACATATCCATTCCTCCAACTACTAAAGCTCTGCCATCGCTCAATACAGTTAATGTATGATCCGATCGGTAAGTGTGCATGAAGCTAATATCAGTCCAATGGCCGGTGCTTGGATCATAAATAAAAGCACCTTGGCTAGGACTACGAAGTTTCTTCTCAGGATCCAAAAA